ACCAATCAGGGTGTAATAAACACTGAGTTCACTTGAAACAGTCCTGCAGTCCTATTGGTTGGAGTGTTGTTCTTCATATTAACCTCCTTGAAAGGTCATATTTCACAACTATGATGCAACGATGCTAATGGCTCATATCCTTTTCAAAGGCGGAATCCATCTATCTCTTAGGGCTCTTTCAGGGAATTAAAACATTGCAAAAACATATATGGCAGCAGCAGTGAATTTCATACCCTCCAAATGTTTGGACTACACATTCTACTAGCCCCAGCCAACATAGCCTATGGTCAAGGACTGTGGCAGTTGTAGACCAGAGCACAGGGGGATGCTGTATGTACTGCTCCTCCTCTAGGTCATGATAGCCTCAGTCCAGCAAGAAAAGCATTTCTATATTTCTTCACATAAGGAATGGCCTTATTCCTAAAGGAGTTGCTGCAATATAGAATAAAGTTACATTTCTGTTTGTACCCTTTTGTTTAGAAAAAGTGACATGTTCTGTGCTCTGTAACATTAGACATAGAAAACTGAACAGAGCTAGGGAAAAAAAGATAAAAATAAACAGACCCTTACATGCAGTGTTGAACATATGAAGAACACATAAATTGTTTTAGTTAAGAGCATCACTGTCCACATTACCCTGAATTTTTCAACAGTACCACTCTAATGTGGTATCTATGCAGGATGCAGTGGCTCAAGTGGTTAAGAAGCTGATTCTGTTGATTGCAAGATTGGCAGGTTGGCAGTTCGAGGCCCGGGTGCTGCATGATGGGTGAACTCCTGTCACTAGTCCCAGCTTCTGCCAATCTAGCAGTTTGAAAGCATGAAAATGCAAGTATATAAATAGGTACCACTTCTCAATGGGAAGGTAAACAGCATTCTGTGCAAACATGCTGGCCACATGATCACAGAGTAGTCTCTGACAACGCTGGCTCTTCGGCTTAGAAACAGAGATGTGCATCGCCTCCCATGGTCAGACATGACTTGACAACCTTGTCAGTGGGGAATACCTTTACCTTTACCTTTACCATTCTAATAGCATAAAAAGGAGGAAGGGAGAGGGAAAGGATGGGAAGAAATGTGGCAGTACCTTAAAGGTGAAATGTTTTTTTATTTTAGCATCAGCTTTTGTGAATATCAACTCACTACACTGTAACTAACACAGCTACTTCTCTGAAAATTCTAACAACAAGTAGTGTTTTAGTTAGGCCATTGTTGTTGTTGTTGTTGTTGTTGTTGTTGTTGTGTGCTTTCAAGATGTTTCTAACTTATGTTGACCCAAGAGGAACCTATCACATGCCTTTTTCTTGGCAAGTTTCTTCAGAGGGCCATACTTACTCAAATTCTGCTCTGATGATCTTGCTTTGAATCTATGCTGCAAGCTGGAAGAGCAGGAAGCTACCAAAGCAAAATGCATCCCCCACCAATTCCTAGATCATGGTATGTGCTGGTTCTACACTTGGCCTGTTGCAGTTGAGTGCCAGATGGCATAACCCTTATATAATGATGGCAGGAAGTGCATTAGAAGCATTAGAAGTGCATCATCCTAACCTATCAGCCTGACCCCAATTCAGCTCTCTTATTGGGATGGACCAAGTGCCTTGCTTCCTAACTAGCATATCTTTCTCAGGCATAGCTCACAGTAAATGTAAACCACTGGTCTGATCAATGTCCATTTCTGACAGCCTGCAAAAGGCATCACATATTATCAGCCATTTTAGTCCTGCTACTGTAAGCTAAAATGGCTTGTGCAGCAGAAGCGTATGTGGAAGAGGGTGGGGTGGAGGGGAGAGCAAAAAGAAATCAAGAGTGGGACCAGTGAGAGGCCCACATGAAATAACTCGACACACAAAACTAGCTCAGCAGCCCCATCCCTAGAAACTGAGGCTTTGAAATGAGAAATGTTTTTCGTATCTTAAATCTCAAGTACAAACAATAAAAACCAGCCCAGGCTGTGTTCTTTGAAGAGAAAGTACGAGTGACCTGAGCAGTGGTTATCAGCAGCGTCATTAAGATAAACCCTTAACATGATTTAAAGCATCCGAAACTGAAGGCGGCACTTTCAGATACTAACAAAATGGCCTGACATTGGGGATGAAAATCAATAGTAATCAGATGTCACTGAAAATACTCAAAAGTGTCCCCTGACTGATGGAGGTGAGATTAGTGTAAATATTTGTATTCTAATCAGTGGCACGGGAGGGTTGGAGGCAGCCTCTCTGTCTATTTAATTAATGGAGTGGCTTTTAAAAAGGATCCTAATCATATGTGATTGTATCTGCTTATCAACATTTTTGCTAATTAGATGATATGGAGGCAGTCGTTCTGCTAATTCCCTCATCCGAACAGCATATCCTGCACAGATAAAGTGCAGTCTCTTTTTAATAAGAAACAATCATGAGACAGACTAACCTTAATGGTGCTTATTATCCTTGGAGCGTTTGCGCCATATCCACTTCTCCCCTTACACAGACCTCTGCTCCAGAATGCCAGGCAGGCAAAGTTCTTGGAGTCTTCCTTGCCCATTTGCCCTGGTCAGTTATGCATTAAAGGTGGTCAGAAATGATTACATATGATAATTATGGATGGTTTCACAGGGTTTTTCTCTGCCACTATGTCCCCAATGAACATCTGCACAACCTAAGCTCTCAGACAAATGGAGATTTTTAGGCCTACATCAGATTTCCTCTTTTCAGTCCAAGCTACCACATCAAAACATTTCCTTCAAGCCATCACTTCATAGGCATCATGTTTACATCTGACACCTGTGTGATCCAGAACTTGGAAAAGTTACTCTCCTGCACTTCACTTCCCAGAATTATCTCACCCAGCATGGTAGGAGAGTAACTTTTTCAACCCCACCTCCCCCAACCTTCAACAGCTAAGGTCCTTTGGGGATCTTCAGCAGGGAAAACTGCTTGTTTATATTAATTATATACCATGCAATGGTCCAAGCTCTCAAGCCCTGGAGTAGGAAAGACCTCCCTTGTGTGGCTTGCTCAGTCTTGAGGAGGAAGGTATTCACTTACCAGCTCCAAGAGTTCAATCCAGAAGTGACTTCTGCAGTAAAGGCCTTCTCTCTGCTCCTATCTGAACTGCCCATACTCTGATGCTGCTTCTGCCTACCCAGATAAAGAACCTTATTACTAGAGGAAAACTGCTTCTCTTTGGAATTTATCACACGGGGAGCCCTGTGCAAAATCGCTCTTTAAAGTGAAAAA